AAGCACACGCACAAGCACAAGCACAAGAACAAGAACAATCACAACCACAACAACAACTACGACAACGACAACGTCAATAATAAACGAACTGGCAACAATGGTAACAACACGTGTAATACGATGTATAATACCAAGAATACTAGCAACAGTAATATTAAGCAAGAATAATGACAACAGTAAGAACCATCATCATCACCATCATCATCATCATTTCAGGCTCATTCAGGACCTGTGGAGGCCGAAATCCTGGAGCCGAGATGCCGAGAACTGCGCGTTTAGCACGGACCGGCTTCCTTCCAGCTCATCGCGGAAGCGACGTAGCTCCTCCTTGGATGTCAATCAGCAGAAGGGTGGGCAAAAGACACATACTGCATACACTGGAACCTGAAAACCTAGAACAGAGGTTTAGGTTGGGGGGGCATGCAAATCTTTATGAAGATGCTGCTCGGCAAGACCGTGGCTTCAGTGAGGCCTCCGAGAATATGTTTAGCTACATCCAGTTTGAGGGCAAGCTTCACTTGGTGTAGGGATCTTGTGTGTTCGGCAGGAAGAAACATTGTGTGTCATACGGCTTTTCCAGCTCGCTGGCCGGATAATGGCTACATGTCTTCCCTGCCGGCTGCAACCCTATAAGTCAAGCTTGTGTGGAATCCCGCCCTTTCAGGGTATCAGTATATGGGCTATTCACAATTCCGAGGCCCAGGTTCCCGGGTCTAGGGTTTCGGTGTTCAGGCTTCAAGGTTTAGGGATTCAGGGTTTAGGAGTTTAGGGTTCAGGAAACCCACGTCTTGAAAAGAAGAAGCACCGAAACGATAAGGCCAAGCGTCTTCAAGGACCTGCGCCTCGCGATGGCAATCAGCAACTATAATTACTGCGTTTTATGTTGGGTAATTTTCGGGATATCCCCCCCTCTCCCATCTGTCCGGATCTCTCCCCCACCACCAACAATCATAGAATGCAAAGCTCGCCTGCACCGTTGGGAGTGCGTGCTTTTGGGCGGTTCACCACACAGTCGATCCTCTGCGCTGCATCTTTCTACGATGCATGTGACGGCATAAGCAAGTGGTACGTCATGCTATGCTACTCGAGATACTAGAAAGGCATGCCATCTTGTGTGCCCTCGAATCGCGGTCCCTTTCGCCTTCGTCTCCGCATCTTGCCGGGACTCGACCTCACAGCGCACCTGGGAAGGTAAACGCCGACTTCTAACTTCTGCCTCGGGTTGTTAAAAGCTGAAGGCTACTTAGGGCTTTAATGCTCGAAGACTCCTTAAGATTGTTGGCTCATCTTAAGGTTTCTGAAGGACTCCCTTAGGATGTAGGCTTCAGGGTCTGAAGGAATGGACCTTTTCCCTACAGCCTAGCTGAACGAGGTCGAACGGGTTTAGGGCTTCGGCTTGGGAGTTTAAATAGGGATTAAGGTTTGGGGTCCATGGTTGGATTACAAGTCGAAGCTGCGGTTCACAGGATTTGAAGTGACCGGTTGTATCTTTGTTGTTGCCTCCACCCGAGGGGTTCAGTTGCTGCTGAAGACATGACATGACAGATTGCCACAGCACGCTGCTAAAAGCGAGTGCAAGCAAACTACTGACTCGCTAACATAGCAAACTATAAGATACTGATATGACATCCTATAATATAATAAGGTATTACCATAATATACTATAATATCTGCTTATAAATCCTAAAGGTCCTAGTGTATTGAAATATATCAAACTACAGAAGGAACCGAGCGCCTCAGATCGCAGGCTCTTCAGCTTGTCAAGGTAGCTGGAGCCACAGCTTTCCAGCTCCTCGAAATGCCTGGCGCAACATAAAACGGGCAAGGCCCGGAAGGCAAGATATAATATATGTATGTATATAGGCATATATATATATATTATATATATATATATTTATATATATATATGTTATTTTTTTTCAGCGCAAAAGGCTCCAAGCTTGAGCTCTCAGAGCGAGTTGCCACATCGGCACACACACCTCTTCCAAGCTTTCCTTTGCTTTCGGCAGAACAACCTCTACCTGTCTCATGCTGTTTCCCTCGGATGTGCTTCGGCCGAAGGCCTTTGTGCTCGAAACCAATGCACTAGGCTCGCACTAGCAGGTGATGCTTCCCCCTTGCCTCAGGCGAAAACACAGCGCAATCCCTCCATCCCAAGGATGCCTCTCCAACATCTTGTTCTTGACCTCCTGCCTTTCGTGACCGCTGCGGATCAACTCCTGCACCCGACCTTTCAAGCGACGGATCACACATCTTCGGGCTTCGCCTACAGAGAGGCTTGATTCCTTTTCGCTGTTGCTCGCTATGTGCTTGCAATATGCATTTCTTGTCAATGATCGGAACCGTGACCTGCGCCAAATGAGGCTGGTCAACTCAAGGCAACTGCTCGACAACTCTACATGTTCAGCGTATGTCCTCATTCTCACAGACATCCAACCCTGTGAACGCCTAATGTAAGAAGGATATGGATAGACCAATCCATACGCAAGCGCCCAAAACCCCCAACCCCTTACAAACTTGACATCCTAAATCCTAAATCCCAATTCAAACCTCAAAAGATCGCAAAACCCCCCAACGCCTTGCACCCTCTTTGCATCAGGACTTGTGCAATCGCTTGCATAGAACCTTAAACCATCCTAAACCCGAAACCCCGAAGCCTTACCTGAACCCTGGATCCCCAACGTCTTCGCCTTGGTTAGTTCCCCCTTGTCTCCCTGGTTCTTAGTAGGGAATGGGGGAATGGATCCCTATGATAGTCCCTTAAGGTCCCCTATAGTAGCCCCAAAATCCCATTCCTCCATTCCCTACTAAGAACCAGTCAGTTGTGTGCCGGGAGTCTCATGAGCTCTCGGTGAGCCTGGCGACGGGTTGCTGGGGCCTCGCAGCTGGTCAAACGTCGGGGTCGTACTGCTTCGCTGAAGGTCTCTAGTAGGGGTGTAACTCGTCATGTAACCACGTAACATGATTTAATACAGGGATCGTAGAAACTCCAATAGGGCTTTGGTTTTAATTTTCTGGTAGATTTGCATTAGGGACCTTAATTAATAAAGGGATGCGAGAAGTGAATAATATCTTCCTCCGATTAATGAAGAACCCTCCCTGGTATCTAAACCTAATCTCGGGAGAGCATTTTTGCCGGAATGCGGCCGAAGAGGAGTTCGAAAGGGCCAAAAGGAGATGTGGATTCTTTTCGATTTTGGGATATGAGGAGGGTCTCGGGATCCTGTGACCTAAAGCTGCCTCGACGCCCTCGCAGCTCTCTCTCGCAGAGTTGATGTTTTGGGAATAGTTCATCTTTTGAAACCTTACGATTCACCAGAACACGTGGGTTGAGTTGCCGTCAATCTCAGAGTCTAGGTTTGAGGACTAAGCCCCTATACCTTACGATTGCAAAAGCGAGTGTGCGCGGCACTGGAACGTATGAGTTGAGTTAACTGCAGACAACAGGGCCCGCAGGAACATAAAACCGGGAACTGCTGCAAGTTGCAGCAACCGCAGGAACGTAGGACTGCAGGGTGCGGGGGGTAAAATATACCCAGGAGTTAGTGAAGATGCTGAAACAGACATCCAAATACAAACCTACCTTGGGGCAAATCACGTTTTAATTTTTGCCGGGGTGGGGGCGCGGTTTTGACGGAATCGGGGGGAAGGGATTATTTCGACACTCGACCGCCGTATTTTATCTGAATCCCCAAAACTAAAGAAAACGGCGACAATGTTCAGTTGCAATTACAATCTGTGCGTACATGCATCCACCCCTACACAGTAGCTGGCTTTCAAAAGACCTAAAGTCTGGTTGAGTGAACGTAACCGCTACAGCGCTTCAACTTCTCGTGCTATCGTCGATAGACGTAGTTCTGCGAGATCAATCACCCCATGCCAGAGCTAAACCACAAGGGGCCCGGAAAAGGGAGCCCTCGAGCCTGAACACAAACCGCGCGAAAGCCCTTAAAGTAAACCACGGCGCACAAGGCCCTAGACACCATGCCTCAAGCCCTAAAGACACCAACTGAAGCGTGTAGTGAATCGATGATGCCTCCGGCTTCTGAGCACCTGAGTGAAGGCTGCCAAAGTTCTCAAACACATTGGGTAGGGCGTAATTGTTTCGGAAGCTTCAGCGCTGTCGGTGTTAGGGCCTCAAGTCAACATTATTGAGAGCTTTTGAGTGAAACCGTGAGACACATATTCCAGCAGGACGGACTGTCGGTCATAGTCGATCAACAGTGGAAGTCACGGCCGATGCCACACTCGCAGCCAGGGTGCGTGCGTGTGCGTGTGCGTGTGCGTGTGGGTGTGGGTGTGGGTGTGGGTGTGGGTGTGGGTGTGGGTGTGGGTGTGGGTGTGGGGGTGTGGGGGTGTG